TAGTGTTTATGTTTTTTGTATGAGTGCGTGTTGTCGCAGAAAGCAATACACATTCCTAACGTGTTGGTTGTTGGGTCTGTGAGGAAAGTGTGTCATGAACTTCGACCCCATCGTTAGGGTTTGGAGAGCATGCGAGTCCTATAGATATCTACAATCAGGTTTCTCGGCGTTTTTTTTATTTTTTAAATATAATTTTTACAATTTTACGAGAAGAGTATCACACAGAGAGGAACATTGGACAAGGCTTAAAACTTTGCTGAGCATTAAAGGCAAATTTTGATAGGCTGTGTTAGGTTACTATCGTTGTAAGCAGCAATAATAACAGTGATTGGATAAATGAGTATAAGTGCGCGTGCTCACTGCGTGCGACTAGAGGCGGGGAGTTCTAAAGCAAACTGAAAACTGCAAGAACGAAACGTATAAATTGCAAGTGGGCAGCTTGATTACCTCTTGAGCTACCCTGCGCTATACATCGCCTTACGTACGTAAGTCCCTGCTCTGTCCGCCAGATTTCATTGCAGAATCATGACTGTAGCCGAGTTAAGGTAATTGATGTTTTATAAAACACGAGTAGATCTACATGGTGTATAATATACACGAATTGTATTTCTATTAGCATAACTAGATATTGATAAACATTGCATTACATGCAGGCCTAGTGGAAGGCTACTAGATATAACTTATCTAAAGGGGACGCAGTTTCCATCTAAATATATATGCATTGTACTAATAACTAATTTCTAGATCAATAAGGACTTTAATAAATGTAGGCCTCTGCTAGACATGACAAGGTTTGATTTTAACGTTTATTATTAACACGGCTTTCTCAACACTGCAGTAGGCCAACAGCCTACAAGGGTTATAGGCTAATATGTCGTAATAATAATATATTTCTTGTTTCATTTATCATCTGGTTCTGGCGTCGCACCATTCTTGCCCTATTATATCAACATAGAAAAGATTTTACTTTTGGTTGATTTCTCATGGATGCTGAAGGCAAAAATTAAAGGCAACCGTAAAAGTTAATAGAACGTGTCGTTCTTTAGCCTAGGCCTACTTTCAAAGAGGATGTTGGCCTATGATGTATGGGTTTGTTTCGTATTGTCAAAGTACCAAGTACCAAGCCATGTCATGCTTTTCTACATGATACATGGGAGGTAACTCGGGTTATTTTGCGTTACAATGGCGCAGAGACAGAGACTTCCAAACTTGAAAATTTGTGTTGACAACACCGAGTCAACAGACGAATCTGATGTTGAAGTGCAAGAATCGAATTCTTCAGAGTCAGATGTTGACCCAACGCCACCCCATAGAGGAGGTAATTTCAAACGCGCTCTTGAAGATGGCGAAGTACGGGAGGACGAGCAAGGAGATGTATTATCGATTTCAGGAGAACCCACAGAACGTAGGTTTTTGTCGAGACGATCGTATTTACCTGGGTCCAGACCAGCTGGGGAAGCCGCTCAGTATGGGGTAAGTGGAAACATTTGCAGTTAAAATCTACACTCTTATGGAATTTACAAATACACAGTCATTGGTAACTTTATAGAATTCTGAATATCTAAGATTGAAATAGAAGTAAGGTCCATCACCATGGTTAGAAATTAATAATAGGCCTAGAGGTGCTTTTTCGGTAGTTCCCACCCCCCTTATTTGAGCCTAGATCTACATCGAGATCTATACGTTTGATAAGCGGCGAGCTAAGATATATCAAACCTAAGAACTGCAAAACATAAAATTATGCTAAAATTCAGGGAAGGGGGGGGGGCATGCTCCCCTGAAGTGGCTATCCTCACCCGGCCGGCCGGGGTGAGAATAAAAATACGATCTACCTCTCACCCCGGGTGAGACTGGCAAGCCCCCCTGAAACCTCCCTACTCTTTGGGCCAATACCCGCGAATAACAATTGCGGTGGGGAACTACCGAAAAAGCGCCGAATAATAAATTAAAGTGGCTATTCTCACCCGCCCGGAAGTTCTCGCAAGATCTACTCCTCCCCTCTTCTCTCTCTCTCTCTGTCTCTTTCTGAATACTGTCTATCGGTGTGGACGATCAAATTGGCCAAAACAAAGTTAAAAAATGATGTTAAAACACAAAAGTAAATTAATTTGGTTGTCTACAAAGATGCTACGGCTATTTAACTTTTCGAATCGAGCCGAACTACGCGGGTCGCCATTTTGTTTTGTTCTCTCTCTTTCTCTCTCTCACTCTCTCTCTCCACTGCCCACAGACAAAATTGTACGCTTTTAGTAGGCTACACAAGTACAGTTGTAATGGAACGTTTGTTCACAGCACAGAATTCTACAATTTTTCTGTTATCACAGTGTAGAATTCTGTGGTTTAGGGTGAACGCAAAATTTGTTGGCCTAGATCTAGGCTATAACGGTGAACGCGCACCGGGTGAGAATAGCCAAAAGACTCGCCTGCACTATTCTCATCCCGGGTGAGAATAGAGGTGGCCTAAACACTGTTGTTAAAATTTTGTTATCGAAGTGACTATTTCTCCGAACGTTCGGAGTGAATTTTAAGCTGAACTTCCTTCTATGCTCTAAGCCTACAGGGTCATAGGTTTTGGGCTGACTACTTCTATTTTTAGTTCTTCAACTTCCGCTTCAGAAAGCAAACGTTCTTGGGTTACTTTTAGCCTTTAAAAGTTTGTTTCTGCGCAAAATTTATTTAATCTTACTTCGTTTTAAAAATCAGAATTGAGCTAAAAAAATAATTCATATAACCTAGATCTACATATATATGTGTAATCAACTGTTTTGTTCTCATAATTATTTACGTGTATTTTTGCACAACCAAATCTGATCTCTTGGAATTTGAACGAATGCTATATTACAGTGAAGCCGACAAAATAATGGAAGACAGCCAAGACAGCTATCATTAGTTTTACAGTAATTGTTTCAGTGACGGTGACTGCGACTGGCGCGCCAGCACTGCACAGCGACGCTGCAGGCCAGCCAGCCTCGCCTCACACACACACATGCACACACACACACACGCACACACACACACACACACTCTCTCTCTCACACACACACACACACACACACACTCACACACATCACTAGGGCCTAGGTCTTGATCAAATTTTTTTTACTGGCTTGCTCTAACTTCGTCACACTCACCACCAACGTTGACGACTCCCCGTTGAAGGGCAGGGGAGGCTGGTCTTGATCAAGACAAGGCTAGGTACTAGGTAGGCTAAACGAGAGTCGAGAGTCACGAGCGACTGGTAGATGAGGGTCACAGTGTCGATCTTGGGCTCACAGTCGACTAGTAAAGTCGATTTTGCCCTGGCCTAGCGCCAACTTTCATTCTGCCATTCTGCCTGGTCTGGGAAGGAGCAAATTTTTGGGTCTAGATCTATTTCAATTTTCAAAGAGCTAGTCTAGAGATTTTAGATGAGTGTAAAAACGTGAAAAAGAAATGTTTTACAACAGAATGAAATCAAAATTAGAACAGCCCGTAAACAATGTTAAAACAACCACAAAAATTAACAAATAAAGGCGTGTGGCCACCAGTCCGAAGAAGATTGGCTGTTTTTAAATGTGCGCAATTTTAAAAAAAGTACAGGATATTACATGTAAATTATGGAATCACACACAAGGGGCCTGCCAGTGTCAGTACATGTAATCAGTTTTGGTGGAACGCTGTAACATAACACATTTAAATCTATATATACAACACGTATATATATATTTAGAATCTAATCTAAAATGAAGGTAGGAACATCAAATTAAATGACGTTACGCTATACAACATACACCCCCCCCCCCCTTTCCCGAACAAAAAAAAATTAATAGAAAAACAACACATCAGAACAATAACAAGAAAAAAAATTACACACCAACAAAATAAAACACCACAAAGAGGGAAAAATAAAAGAGGAACAGCAATACAAATCGTATGTAACTGTAACGTATTCAACAAATCAACGTGGTGACAACAAGTGAGAAAGAGATGAAGTGAAGCTAAGTGAACTTTCTTTCAAAAGTAAAGAGGTTCTGTTTCTTTTTTTTTTTCTTTATCTTTTATTCCCCGATTGAGAGACCAAAAAATGCCAACAAATCGAAACGCAAATGCTAGTTCTATGTGTTATTATCAATAACCCTCCATAGATCTAGATCTAGACAGCACACGAGTGAACACAACACATTAAGTTTAAGAGCAGCACCCTTCATAGGCAACACGTCATATCTGTTGCGAAAAACTGTTAGGAACTGTAGCATTTCTTTATATAAATATTTACTGCGGACATTTTGTGGACTGATTGAACCATATTGTATATGAACAATCTTTGGTAGGCCTATAATATAATTATAGCCGGAATTTGCGGGAAAGGATATGATTTCAGAGTGTTCGGAGAAATAGTGCCCAGCTTTATTTTCCCGAACGTTCTTAGAAATAGTGCCGGCCTTTTGTTATATTTAGCCTAGATTTCTAGATCTAAATCTTAGATCTGTATGATTTTACGTTCACTTCCCTCTCTATGTCTCGTGCCCGGATAGAGATAGAAAGCCTATTGTGTATGTTGTTGTACAGTACTTTTCTGATCTATAAATTTTTATCCGTTTGCACAGGAATTTTGACTTTATAATTTATAATATATATCTGCCTCAAATCGTTAGTTTGAAAAATGTTATGGTTTTATAATTTTAAGATCCTTATAAAAAGCTTAAAACTGTGTAGTAATATTGTGTACGTATATAGATCTATTATTAATTTGTTTATATTTTCAGTTTCTATTGGACCACCGTCAGTGTAGATTAGCCATTAATACAGCTACTTAGTGCGAAATGCTTATTATATGAACTTTATTTAGAAGATAAATAATCAGAGTACTTTTTCGGGTAATCAAGAATTTCAAGAATATTTAAAGATAATTTATTAAATCGTAGTGAAGGATGCCATTGTCCAGGTCAGAGAGATTTTTACCATGTGACCGTAACCCTTGAAGTGTCGACAGCCAATGAAATTGGCTGTGAGTTTCATTTTGTAGTATCACTTCTGATTTACTTAACCATATCTCGAGTCGCTCTTCAGTTCATTTTTTATCCCATTTTTTAGATATTGCTAAATATATCGTCTACTTTTAAAATGAGCTGTATATATCTATTTCTATTCTACTGTCTGAAAATCCATAAATTTTTGGCTGTTACTTGCTTGGTTTGCTTGCAGTAAAGCATTTTCCAACGTAATAATGGTAAAATTATATAGTATCCCCTGACACCTCTGGCTAGTGGTTGCCAACACTTGGAGGGTTCAGGAATTGGGAAGTTATTCATTTTCAAAAATACAATTTTTTTTTCTTTCAAAAAAGCTAGTTTGATAGTTTTGTTCTTGTCAACTTGATTTCTTACATTTTTGCCTGTATTTATTCATTGTTTCAGCCTCGAGTGTATGAAAACACAGCTGGAAGTTTTGTGACTGGAATAGATGTCACGTCTGAGGTAAAGACATAGTTTCCATGTTTAGAGAGCTCTATATATGTGTAACTTGAGTGGAGATGAAAGATTGAAAATATAAGCACTCTGTACTGTAGACTGCTTTGCTTTGTTTCCTGAATTTTTTAATACATCATGTGCTTGTGTTAATGTTTAAGTTTGTTAATAATTACTGAAGCTTCTCAAAATTATTGAACATTTTGATTTTACACCCAACAGATTTCCTGATGTGAATTTTATCAAAATGACTAACAGACTCTCTGTTAAATTTGTGTTAATCGAATTATAGAGTTAAATTATAAGGCTCAAGAGTGAAGTAAGCAAAGTTAGTCTAACCACTAACCTTTATCATGTGAGTGATTTCTTTAATTTTTTTAACCTCATGAAATTTTTATTTATTTTTCTGCTCACAATATAAATTTTTTGATAAATTGTAATTAATTGTTTCGGAGTTTGACTGTGACTCCTTTCAAGTTAATTTCTTTTACCTCTCTTTTGCTCTTCCCCAAATGTGGCCAGGCTGCAGTGGAGAAACGTGAGCAGAGAGGCAAGCGGTTTGGGACACTCAGTACACCAAAGCACCCAATCACAGATGTAGATCTGAAAAATTTGTACAAAAGGTATTTGCTTGCTGAAATACATTTGCAGTTCAGTGTGCAGCAGTGGTGATTGATTTACTTCATCAGCCAATGTTAAAGTGAAGTGATTTTAAATGGCACTAAGTGGACTCCAACAGCTTAGACTTTAAAAGTGTTGGGCGCAATAAATCAGTCTTCAAAAGTGGGGGAAGTGAGCAGCTCTGCCATGCTGACTTTAGACTCGGACTAGTTTTGAAGATAGGTTTTCTTTTTTTTTTCCTTTCTTTTTTTTAGCTTTCTTTTTTTTTCTTTCTTTGTTTCTTTTTTTTTTCTGCTCACAATATAAATTTTTTTTTGGGGGGGGTTGGGGTCTACTAGAGATAGTTTAACAGGGTTTAGCTTTATAAAAACCTTTTTTGCTTCGGTTAGTTGGGAATGTTAATTTTGTTCACAGGCCTTAGTTTTATTTATATATATGCAGTAATGCAGTTCTATCAGACCCAACTCATGCTGTTTTGGTTTGTTCAAGTTTTGTCTGTTGACAAAAATTGTCTGAATGAGTATCTTTGTATCTAAGTTACAAATGTCTTTACTGTGGGTGTTCTAATCTAATGTGGTCCGCTCTTCTTTTTATATATCCTACCACTGCTCTTTGTGGAAGTATGGCTTTTATCATGCCTTCATGCTGTGCTATTACAGTTACTCGAATATATTATTTTCTTTGCTTTATTAGTTTTTCCACCTTACAATACACAAATATATTGATGGCCGAGCAATTGGTACACCAGAGTGAGGAGAATGGGGGGGAAAGGAAGAGAATATAAATATAACATGTGCCAATCGTAATTTGGATGTCTTTTCAGGTTTTTTTTTAGCCTTAATGAGGGTATCTCCCCATGCTTTTGTGGCGTGGCTGTATACTATGTGGAGGGGGGGGGGGGTGTCAACTTTTGTTTTTGCTTTTCTAATGTCATCATGTTTGTAATTTGTTTTTTTCTGAACACAAAATGCCTAACGTCTTTGTTTTCACAGCCTTGGGATGAACATTGACACTCTGGATCAGGACTCCCGGGGCTGGAGACAGGAGGCCATCCTGTTGAGGGGCACGGAGAACATGAGCACCAAGGATGTCTTCGACTATTTCTCCGAGTTCTGCCCAAAGGGTGTAGAGTGGATCGATGATATGACATGTAAGTGGGTCGATGATATGACGTGTAAGCGGGTCGATGATATGACATGTAAGTGGGTCGATGATATGACATGTAAGTGGGTCGATGATATGACGTGTAAGTGGGTCGATGATATGACGTGTAAGTGGGTCGATGATATGACGTGTAAGTGGGTCTTGTGTCGTTTACAGGACACATGCGGAGGGGATCAGGGTCTGCTGCAGTATGAATGGGTTTAAGTTCACGTTCCTCCTTTTCTTTTCTTTTTTTCCTTGTCTGTGGTTACAGATAATTTTTGCTATATTACAGAAAGGAGTGTAGATTTGCTTCGGTGTTTCCCAAACTTTATGCGCATGCTTGTATACCCCTGTTTTACTGGATTTTATTCTCCGCTGTGTCCTTAGCATCATAATATATTTCTGATTCTACTTCAAACTCCCTCATTGGATTCCATATTCTATTGTGATCATCCTATATTCAGGGGAAATACATGTGTGCAAGCGATTACGGACCAAAATTATGTACTATCGTAGACTCGTAGACAAATCCTTAGTAGTCCCTGTGTCTGCTTGTTAGAATGTTTTGATTGACAATTTTTGCACCGGCAATGAGGTTAAAAGAAAAAGTCCGCTTTTCATAGCTGTAAACTTAAAGTTTTTAGTTTGTGTTTGAGTTTGACATTAATTGATAAGTTTCCAATAATTTACTTCTTTAGAAAGGTTTAGTTTGCTTTCAGTTTCGGTGGTCGATTCACTGATCTGTTGCTTGGTAATAAATGATCCACTGATCTGCTGCTTGGTAATAAATGATCCACTGATCTGCTGCTTGGTAATATATCATCCACTGATCTGTTGCTTGGTATTATATTTTTGCTTCAGGTAATGTCGTGTGGATGGACAAGCTGACTCCTGCCCGAGCCTTCCTAAAGCTGAGCTCTTCTGCCGCCGAGGATGTATTGGCTGCCAAGGCAGCTAATGAACAGAACTCGAACATGGACGGTAAGAGGATGAGTTTTTTCTGACCGTTTCATCTGAGTCCCAAAGTGGCACCATTTTACGAGGCACATGCGACTCAAGCTACTACTAATGGAAGGTTGGGTCTGCTGGTTTAGTTGGGTTTTTTTAAAAGATCAGGTTTGGGAGTCGGAGGTGTAAAAAATTATAAGAGACGGTATTCTGATTTGTTTACTTTGACTATATTTCAAATTTTAGTGCATAACCTAATAATGGCAACAGTACCTCGATATTTCTTATTTCAAAGTTACTGTAATTGTGATTTACTTTGTGGCATCCTCTTTGGCCTGCAACCTTTTTTTTTGTGCTTACTGCAGTCAGCATATCACAGAATGGTGCCTATTACTACTTACCAGAGACATAATAGTCGTATTTTTAAACTTGGCCTGGGTTATTTTCTCTTCTTTTGAGGTTTCGTTGAAGGCGTTTTCATTTACTTTGAATTGGTTACTTACTTACGTCAATCGACAAAAAAGCTTAGTCTCTGACAGCTTTTTATAAAGATTTTAAGAGTCATGCAGGGATGCCTATTTGCCTGATAATATTTGGCCCAAGTCTGATGTAAGTTTCATAGTAGGGCCGGAATACTCAAGCCGAAAACTGTTGTTTCTTCAGGTGTGAGTCCACTGAATCGTGGCAAGACAGACCAGATGGATGCCAGCTGTGGACCCCTGGACTCAAACCCTCAGTCTTCTGCCACCGGAGCTGATGGTGGATCTCAAGAACAGAGTGGGTCTCAGTCGGAGCAGCCTCAGCAGCAAGTGCCGGTGTTGAACATTCAGGAAGAAGAAAATATGGAATTGGACTTTGATGATACTCTTGACTTGACCGTGGAAGACCCTATTGACCAAGCATTGACCACGTGGACAAATCATACGCAAAACAAGAAAAAGCAAACTGAAGACATTGAAAGTTCGGGAACGTTGGGAGTCAAGGAAGGAGGCACTCTTGGTGCTTCAGGTAGCCGTGAAGCGTTGTCGGAGAAAGAGAAACAGTCTATGCGGATTTCTGAAAAAGAGAGTGATGAGACTCCAGCAACAGAGGATGTTAGTGTCGGTGTTAAAGGAGGGAGAAAAGTTTCAGACAAGAGAAGTGCTGATTCGGAGATTAGATTAGACTCGAATGCAGAAGTTGGGATTCGGATAAAAAGCGAGGAAGACTTTTCCAAGAGTGGCCAGGGAAATAATAAACTGTCCCAAAAAGAAGGTAAGCTGTTGAAAGAAGATAAAAAGAGCAAATTGAAAGGGGTCCAGAAAGAGAAGAAAGACAAATCAAATAAGTCGTTGAAGAGACCAGAGAAAATGGATATGGAGGGTGGCTCCGACTCGGACAGTAGCTCCTCATCTTCCTCGTCATCGTCCTCATCGTCATCAGACTCAGGGTCAGGATCAAGTTCTAGTTCAGATTCTGACTCCTCCTCCTCCTCCTCATCTTCATCATCCAGCAGGTCATCAGAAGGCAGCAGGAAAAAGGTGAGAAATTAGAATGTTCAGTGTGGTTTCATTTGTTTATGAGTAGCTTTCTAAGTAGCCTTTAGTTTATTTCTGTTGTACAGAGAGGCATGCGCTTTTTTAACCTAACACAGTAGGGGCTCATGCATACACAAGTGAGGCAATTTAGTTTCTCATGTGTGATATAATAATGTAGATATGAATAATACGTCCGCGGGTTCACTACAATTAAGTGAACTAAGAATCTATATGATTTGCTGGGTTCTGAACAAAAGTGTTTCTTTACTCCCTGAAAGAAATGTGAGAAGATTGATGGGAATAGTTGAAGCTTCTAATTTTGTTATATTTTGGCATTATGGAAAGGGGTTGGCCCCATAATGTTCGTCGTGGGTATAGGCATGTTTTTGTGTAGATTTTTAAAATGATAATTGGGACTCAGTATTATAAAGAAAAGGGGTTGTTTTGATTTTGAAATCGAAATTGTACAAGCAAGAATGAGATATGCTCTTCTATCAACCCTATCCGTACGCCCTGGAGTCATTTTGTACACCCGGGGTTGTATTCTTCATTTTTCAGAATACTTTTTGTGCGCAGTACTCTTTGAAACTTTCAGTGTTTCTCAAAAAATCATTTTGTCCGACTGCTATGGAAAGCGCATGGATCGGATTAACGCGTACATTTCCTCTTTAAAAGTGATGGCACCGAATTCCCCACGTCGTATGGATACGACAGTAAAACACGACGTACGGATAGGGTTAAGGAATGGTGATTGTAGTGATGCTTTGACTTTGAGTAGTCAAGAAAGTGGTGAGCCAAGCACAAGTAGTCATCACACTGAGGTGAAGACCCATTCACCCGAAGTACTGTCAGATTAGTAATGCTTTTATATCTAGTCATACAAAGCACAGCTGATTAAAACCTGCAAATTCTTTGCCATATCGACAGACCGAAGGGCTAGAACCCAAATGGCCACTGGTTCGGAAAAGTAAAAAAAGTAAAGTATATCTAGTCATGAACTTTTTAGTTTTTATACAGAATAGCAAAATAGTGATTGTCTTTGATGTGTTGGTATTAATATCATGTTGGCATATCCAAAATAATAGCCCCAGATGTCATGCACAGTGTTGCGGTGGGTGGTTGGTGGTTGCTCTGGTATGGTTTGCTGAACTTCTTTCCTATCAAACATCTATTGTTCTTATCTCCCCTTCTTTTTTATGTTTGTTACTCTCTTGTAACACCTAATCTTCTTGCGCTCATATGACCTCATGCAGTTGCATACGCTGTAAAATCTCGTCTAAAGAAAAAAACTGTTGCGGTTTTGGGAAATGTGAAAAGGTGTATTTTTATTTATTGCTGCCGTTTTTAAAGTAACTGATGCTTCTGTTTATTAATTGCTTCAGATATTTGTACTACACATTGGATAGAAAATTCCAAAGAAATTTAATTATTTTTAATAGTCTGACATTGGGAGTGATTTAGAGACGCATGCATAAAGATGATTAATAAATAATTTTGTACTACTGAATTTACTTTTATGTACCTTTTTGTGATTGCTACTTTGTCAAAACAGTGATTGTTATCATTACCATCATTTTCTTCTTTTTTTTTCATTATAATTACTAGTTTGCTCTGTATAGAACTGAATCAAGGATTTCTATCACACATAAAACTAGTCTTTGAAAAGTAGGCAAAGTGACAGTATAAAGTTGCTTCTAAAAGACAAATTGAGTTTGGTCAAAATTTTCCTATATCAAATCGTGTTCAGTCAAAATTTTCTAATTCCGAATTGTGTTCAGTTAAAATTTTCTTATGTTCAGAAACCAGTCTCGTACTTTGAGAAAAGTAAGAATTTCTTCTAAGTTTTTGGATCATTTTGTCTATTACATTAATAAAAGTTATATTTTGGTTTCATTGGATTGTTAGGTTAAAAAGACTGTGTCAGAGAGAAATAAGGAGAGAGAGGCCCGGAAAAGTGCAAAGAAGCCCCAGGCCCCACCTATTCCACCCCCCTCAAGAGACCTGAGCGATATCCCGTGGCCACCGGGTTTCTGGAGACTTGGTGTTCCCCACAAGAAAGCCGAGTTCTTGTTTCTACGCTACGCTATGAAAGGTAAGACCGATAGTTTTTTTCTTGCATTTGAATTTTTGTAAGTCGGAAAGAAGCATGTCGATGTAGTAGTGGTTATTTGATGTTAAAAAAGCTTGACCAACCGATAGACAGACAAATGACAAAAGCTTGACCAACCGATAGACAGAAAAATGACAAAGGGATAAACAGAAAGTGGGATCTTCCTGTGGTACTCTCCACCCAATGAGTTTCCTCTTGCCCTTCTTCAAAGCCCTGAAGAAGATGCAGACAGGTCTTTTTGAATGTTAATCCTGCATTGAGAGGTTTCAAGTTTGTTAAAAAAAGAGCTGGACAGAAAACTAGTACGTGCAGAGACAAGATCCCAGCCATGTGCTCAAGAGGTTGTGGCCTTTGAGCAGCAGAAAGGTTGTGCTTCATGTAGGCAGGACAAAGCTGTTCAAAAGTACAGTTGAAACTGTAAATGATGGCTAACCCATAGTGGAGGAGAAAAATGGCTGTCTTTGACAGGTGGATGCCTTCATCATCATCCGGTGCCGTGCCGACTGGCGTGGGCGATCATGGATCTCCACTTCACCCTGTCCTGCGCTGCAGCAATGGTGTCTGTTGTTCTTGCTGCTCCCAACCATGTCGTCATCTTGTCCAGTATCTTTTCCCTCTGTCTGCTTCTGCCTCTCTTTCCATCAAACTTTCCTGTTGTTACAATATTCTCTAATGCTTCTTTCCTCATTGTGTGTCTGAAGAAATTTGCCTTCTTTCCTCATTGTGTGTCCGAAGAAATTTGCCTGTCGTTTTCTTATTTTCGTGATAAGTTGTTTTCTGTAATTTGCTTCAACCAGGACTTCTTCATTTGTTTTTCTAGCTGTCCATGGGATACGTAGCATGCGTCTTATGAACCACAACTCTGTCTTTGACAAAGTGGGTGTCTTACATAGTGTCATTTTGATTTTAAAAGTTCACAAGGGGAGAAATTGGAAGTGGCCATTTGTACAGGTGATTGTCTTATACAGGTGACAGATACAGCAGGTGTGACAGGTGCTGTGGCATTAAACCTGTACAATTTCACGCAGTTTTTGCACTTTTCTGAATTTATATCTCCTTAAATTTTAAGTCATTGAAATTTTCATTGATGTTGTATACAATACAACCCAACATTGTGAGATGAATAAATTCTCATTGTTAATACTTGCTTGCCCTCACATACCCAATAGGTTCTGAAATAGTTTGTACCTTGTAATTTAAAATGGTTTTGTTTTTTTCCTGTTGTCTCAAAAGCTGATAAGAAACTCCCTGGTGCAGAGAAAAGGAGCCACTACTATGTCAAACATGGGAACCCTAATTTTGGAGGTGAGTTGTGTAGTCATTGTGTGTGGTTGTTTGGTGGGTACTCTGGTGTGGTTTACTCCTTCGTTCCTATCAAACATTTATCGTCTGTATCTCTCCTGGTATTTTGTGTTTGTTACTCTCGTGCAACACCTATAGTCTTTGGCTTTATATGACCTAATTGTGTTGCAAGGGCCGTAACATTCTTACTAAAACAAATACAATCCTTGTTTATGAGAAGGAAACTCAGGAAACAAAAGCAAAATATAGGTTTTCAGTTTCTGTCGTCTATTCTTTCTGAGAAACAACAGCACCCCCCCC